AGGTGTAAGTGTTGACAGCCAGAGTTGTAATGACATCTTTGGAATGGAGACAAAAGAGTAAACCCAAGGGTGCTTTGCAGAAAGAAATGGTGAGCTTTCGCAACAGATTGAATATCAGAGATAAAGGCAAGGAAAGAACCAATGGTGAAACTAGGGTTGCTAGTGGGAAGAAAGATTCAAAGGCAATAAATGGGAGGGAGGGGCATTTAGTGAGTTTGCTTTTGCAAATGCTAAGTGCAAGCATTTTAGAAGTAGCACAGGAATGCTGGCGAGGTCAGCTCTGAGTGTTGGAAACATAAATTCCTGAAATCTCTGTGGTTTAATACAATAAAAGTTTATTTCTCATTCCCATTACACTCCACTGAGGAGTGGGTGGCCCTGGGTCTTCTAGGGGTTCCAGCGTCTTCCACTTTATGGCATTGCCATCTTCAATGGATCCAAGGTGGCTGCAGAAGGGTTAAGTCCCAAGGACCTCATGGGAGGTTTTAGAGGTCCTGAAGTGGCATATGTTACTTCTGCTCACATTCCACTGGGGATCCAATTGAACTGGAAAGTCTAGTTTATTGGTGTCCCAGGAAGAGGGAATGGGATTCATGAGAACTTGGCCAATCTCTGCTATAGGATGGACACACACACACACACACACACACACACACACGAAAAAAACTATAGGAGTGGATGAATTTACTGAAGACATGAAGACAAAAGTGAAAACTGAAGAGGAAAGAGTTCAAGGAACACAAATAACAAATAGAAGAAGATCCAGCAAAGAATTCAGAGATGTTGTTAGAAAGCTTGAAAGAGAACCAGACCTATGTAGGGTTGAAAGGGGCAAGAGGAGGGGACGTAAATTTCTATCGGGTTGTTGGAAAAGTCATGGCGCATTTTTGCAACGAAAAACAGAAAAAATACGTTATGCCTTTTCCGACAACCCCATATAAGGAAGAAAAATGTCTGCTTTTGCTAAGATTCATGCTTTTGGAGACAAAGAAATTCACAACTATTAGAAAAGGACTTACACATCAATTCCCCACCTCAAAACCATCATTGAGTTATTTTTACAAGCAGTCTGAGACCCAAAGCCCTCTGCCTGCCCTCCAAGGTGCTGGCCCAGCCTATATGTCCACACCTCACCATGCACTTCCCAGGTGCCCAGCACGTCCTGCTCCCTGAGTTGTTAACCATCCCCGAGCCCACCTACTCTCTCCCATCTTCATGGCTTTGCTTTTACAGCTTCTTCCATACATCAAAGTCCTGGCTTTCCTCAAGCCCTAAGTCAAATGCCACGTCAACCAGGAATGAAGCCTTTTCTGATTTTCCTTGTTAATACCAACCTCCCCATATTCCATCAGTCTTTTGATCTTTCCTCTACTTTGGCACATAGGGCCATCCACTTTGTATCTCTCAGATACATGTTCACTTGACTATCTCCCTCAGTAGACCATGGGTTTCTCAAGCAACAAGCAGGGTCACTAGGAACTACAACCCCAGGACACACCAAACACTATAGTCTGGGTCAAGGGCTGGCAAACATTCTCTGTCAAGGCCACACAGTAAGTACTTTAGGTTTTGCAGGTCATATGGTCTCTGTCACAACTACTCAACTGTGCCGTTTTAGTGCAAAAGCAGTCATAGACAATGTAAATGAATGCATATGAATGTGTACAGTAAAACTTTATTTATAAAATAAATGTGGTGGGCCAGATTTGAGCCACATGCCATAATGTGCTACTCCATGACCTATATGAATGACACTTTCTGGAGCACAGTGTGAATGGGGTTTCCTGAAGTGTCGTCTGGGAAGTCCTAGGAAGAATCGATGTGTATCTCACCTCTCCTTATACCTTCTGTCCCATCTCCCACCAGCACCTAGTACAGTACCTTCCACATAGTAGGCCTTCAATGTTCATTTTTCTAAATTAAATACACCTGGAACTCAGTGAATCATAACAGCATTTTGAGAGCTTAATTACCTCTGAAAACTCTTTTGCAAGATTGTAGTAAAGCAGTTCAGGAAGGGATCATATAAGCCCAAGAATCATAAAAAGAACGTGACAGAAAGATGTGAGCTAAAAACATCTAAGGATTAGCAGCCAAAGAAAGAATCTGACATCAGAGCTGGGTAAAAGCAACAAAAAGACATTTGGATCCTGAGAGACCAGCACCAAGAGACATCACACCTCATGTAATGGATGTCTCACAACACCCTCTAAATCCGTGTGAATAATGCATTTAATACCAGCACTTCAATCCTGGAAAGATGTTCGTGATTTGGAGGAAACTCGCAGACCAACCAAAATGATTAAGAGACTGAAAGGATTCATTTATGAGCAGCTATAAAAGAAGCCAAATACGTGCTTGGCCTGCTGATGGCCAGAAAGAGATGAGGAAATGGTTTACAAATTACCGAATGCTGTAAACACCAGGAAAGGGAGGAATGACAGTCAGCTCTATTGGACTTAGCTCTTGGTATGGACATATCTCAGGCATTGACAAATTCCTTTCATTATTGGGTTTTAAAACATTTATGGGCCATCTGAATAATGTATAACTGGGAATGCTGTGATTGGTAATGTTCTATTATTATAATAGGATTGTTCCAGAAGAGCAAATACAAGACAAATTATCGCTTATTTAAAAAAAAAAAACATTCCAGGAATGCTAGGTGTGCCGAGAGAATTAAAATGCACTGAGTCCACTCTTAGAAATATCAAATACAGTAACACCTTGGTTTGCGAGCATAATTTGTTCCAAAAACAAACTACTCATATTGCATGACATCGCTTGTTTACCACATTAAAATGTATTAGAAATGTTTGCTTGTCTTGCAGAACACTCGCAAACCAAGATACTCACAAGCCAAGGTTTTACTGTATATACAATTGTGGGTAATGTTACATAATATATAATTATTTAATTAAATTAAAGCACAAAAATGGAAAGATGGCCAAATAGTTCCTCCCATCATTCAATCATTTATTCATCCATCCCACATATCTAATGCTTACTCACTATTTGCCAGATCTTACTGTCTAGTGGTGGGGTCAGGGATGCTGGGAAAACAAGAAGGAACAGTGGAGAGGTTTAATCAAAAGTGATAAGGGAGCAAAGAAAAGTGGCCCCTAACCCAGATGGGAGCGAGCAAGAATGGAGGCTTCCCAGGGGAGTGTATATCTGAGCCAAGTCCTGAATGATTCGGAGTTGTCTGTTAATCAGAAAGAATGAGAATAGCATACCAGGTAGGAAGAGAGAGAACTCACAGCGCTAAAGGTGACGAAGGACTGAACCACTTTGTCACAACGTACGTGGGACTGACAAGTAGTTCTGATTCATTGAGACAAATAGTTCAAGGAAGGTGGTAGCCTTAAAAATAATAATTGGAATATATTAGGATTGTGGGTGATTTTTATTTTCCTTGTTGATTTTTCTGTCTCTTCCAAAATGTCTCCATTAACAAAATCATACTCTTATGCAGCCAAATAATTGCAAACATTTATATAGCACTTATTCTGTGCCGGACACTATTGTAAGTGCTTTGCATATATTAAGTGATTTTATCCACATAATTCTATAAGACAGGTATTATTATTTTCCAGTATACAGAGAAGGAAGGGGGCCAGACTGAGGTTAAACAACTTGGCAAAATTATAGACCATCAGGAAGTGAGCAGTGTTTCTAATTGAGTCTGTTTTTACATCCTCTGTGCTGCTACTAAGTCAAGGGCCTACTTTTCCATAATCCCAGTCTAAAAATTGATCAACAAATAATCATAGATACAGTCAAATATTTGGGGAGAAGAATGTTCATAGCTCCCCAATTTATTGCAGCAAAAAATAAAACTAAAAATCACCTAAGTGTCCTATAATACAGGATGACTGATCATGATATGGACCATGATGCAAGCACTGGCAATTATGATTGAGAAGAAAGGTAAATGACACAGGAAATGCCTACTATAAAGGTCAAAGGGAAACGCAAGATACAAATTGTGTGTATCCGGAAAGGAAATCCACCAGTCAGACTGGGTTCTAATTCCAGTCTTAGCTCTGCCACTTATTAGCTTTGTGATCTTGGGTAATCATTTAACCCCTTTGTACTCCAGCTTCCTCATCGGAAAACTGGGGTAATACAGTTGGTGTGGTGGTTAGAAAATTAACATAAAATACCTAAAATACTGGTTGGCAAGCACTCGGTGTCAGCTATCGAAACATGGAAACCCTATTTAAAAATTAGAACTAGATAGTACACATTCAGCTGGTAGTCTGATAAGCATCCTTTGTAGTCTGGGGTCCAATATATTACAACTTCATCTAGTTCTTTTCCTCCTGAGCTTTTCAAAAAATAATTGGAAGTTGAGTGAGATGAGGGGCACTTTCCATTACAAATAAAAAAGTATTCACTTCAGAATCTGCTTTATCAAATTATAAGATGTACTAAATAACCGACCACTGAAGGGTTATAAAAATTTGCTTTTAACTAGATCCCTTCCAAGGCGAGAGCAGTGATGTTTTATTTTGGTTCAATATTCTTGAATTGTGATAGTTTAAAACCATTTATGAAATGTGTTTTCATGCCAGTTAGGATCAATAGATCAGTGAGAATTACAGATTGGTGTTTGAAGGGCCCAAGACCATACATAGTTTATTTCTCATCCAAGTTTTGGAATTATCGTCATTATATTATTTTTAAATGTTAAGAAAAAAAGGAAGGAAATGAGCAGTTTCGAGAATAGTATCCACTCTATTTTACCTCAAAGTTTTGTGTTATTTTTTTCATTATGCAAATTCTTGTAGTCATCTTTGGAGCTGTTCTCAGGGATAAGGCTACTTGACCAGGCGGACTACACTAAAAGATGGAATGAGGGCCCAGGGCGGTGGCCGGGGGGCTGTAACTTTCACTGTTCTGCCCAGAATCTACCAATGAGGTTAATCTGCTGTTCACATCATGAGGAACCTAAGTATCCCCACAAGCTTCATGGCGCCTCTCTCTCCCTCCCTCAGGTCTCCTATGTCAAAGCGATTGACATCTGGATGGCAGTGTGCCTTCTGTTTGTGTTTGCCGCTTTACTGGAATACGCAGCAGTGAACTTTGTCTCCAGGCAACACAAGGAGTTCCTGCGGCTGCGGAGAAGACAGAAGAGGCAGAATAAGGTACAGCTGACCCTCAATGCGGATAGGTAGAGCGTGAGGTGGTTAACCAGGCAATGTGATTCAGAAAGCAGAAGAGCACATAACGAGCAAGGAGCTAACGTTCATTTTTGTCCTGATCTGGCCCACTCTACTGAATTACTGCTCAGGTTAGTCGTTTACAATTGGGGCAGAGTTGTCACACTTAGCAAATAAAAATACAGGGCACACAGTTACACTTGAATTTCAGAGAAACAGTAAACAATATTTAGTACATGCATGTTCCCAAATATTGCATGGAACATACTTATATTATTGTTTATCTGAAATTCATATTTAACTGGGAGCCCTGTGTGTTATCTGGCAACTCTAATTGGAGATATATACTCAATCTGACAAGATTACTTTAAAATCCTGTTGTGTTGAACACTGGTCATTTGTATGGATGTGTGTGACTGTACCTTTTTCATCAATTGCTCTGGCTTTATGTAAACAAGGTTCCTATCCATGTTGATTGCAACTCGATAAATCCAACCAGATGGATCTCATCCTCTTGACTTAAACTGTTATGCAGAAACCCAAACTTGACACTCTCCAGAGGTTTGAGGTATGAAATACATTACTCAAAAACTCCAGTTCAGTGGTTCCCAAACTTGCCTGCACATTAGAAGAGCCTGTGGATCTTTCAAAAGTCCCAAATCAGGGCCACACCCTACACCAGTTAAATCCCAGTCTCGGGATGGAGCACAGGAGTCAGTGTTCCTGAAGCTCCCCAGGTAATTCCAGCATGCGGATGCATTTGAGAAGCCCTGCTCTGGTATATAAGCCAATTTCACAGAGGACACCAGGAGGCCTGCCCTTGTCTTCAGTTTCAGATGCTGGGAGAAAAACATGCCCTTTGATATGGAGAATGCTAGTGCCTATAACAATACCCTTAGAGCACTGAAGTTGAAATTTTATATACAGGAGATGAGACATCCTTTCCAAACTCTCCCCCCTCCAAAGTGATAAATTAAACCTGCTGGGAAAGCCATAGTTATATGCTATCCTGTCAGAGCAAAACCAAACATGTTTCATTGTCAAGCATAATGCTTCCAGATACCTAGGTGTAAAGCTGAACATTTGCTGCGATTTGGATGTTGCTTATGCTGAGGACCTAGTATGTGTGTGAGCTCACCAAGTCCTGACTAGATCTACCATGTTCCCTGCACGTACTCTGGGCTGGTATGCTGCTGGCCGCCCTCTTTCTCTTCCCTACCTCTCAGGGACATTTTGACCTGCCACAGCCTAAGGAAGTGGAAACGGAAATGGAAACACACATACACACTCCTTGTTGTGCACAGTTGAATATCCAGCCTTTCTCAATTTTCCCCTCCCTCGTGGTGATGACCATTTCTTCTACCTTGTCCACAGGAGTCTAGCACAAAGTGACACAAGTTTGAGGTCACTTGTGCCACCCAGAAAATCTTACTAGAATGTGAGCGTATTTCAGCGCCTAAATTGTGTTCCCAGAATTCCCTGGCTTTGCATAATAGGTGGCCACTGACAGCACGCTCTCCTAGACCAGAGATGGAAAATGAGTTTCATTTTGCTTCTCAATTCTGAATAATTGGAACACTGTGGGGAGGATTCTTCGGCTGTATCTGTATCTAATCTTACCATAAGAATCACCTGGAGTGCTTGTTAAAAGTACAGATTCTTGTGTTCCACCCCAAAACCTTATAAAGCAGCATCTCCAGGGAGATCACTGTGAATTACTGTAGTCCTTTTCACAAGAGTCCCTGTGAGTCTTATTATGATAAGGAAAGCTGGGGAAAATGTGAGCCGTATTAGAGCAGGTGGTAACGAATGAGAAAGACCAAGTAGTAGAACATGAGGCTGGAGCAACAGCTAATTTCAGGTTCATATAGATTCTGCAGACCAGTGTAAAGAAACAGATTTTATTCTAACTGATTACAATCCACTGGTTAGTTTCAACATAGCACATATCAGGCTGTGGGGTGGATAGTCCGTGGGCTCGAATAGCGGCAGCAGATCCGTTAGGAGGCTGGTGACTTCGACTGTGGTATTGGCCATGGGAATAGAGCAAAGTGGTCAGATTCAAGATTCAATTCCTCATTCCACAAATATTTGCTTCCTACTATGTGCCAGGCACTGTCTACATCTCTAGAATATATTCTTCAACAGGACAAAATGTGATCCCTTGATGAAACTTATATTCTAGTGGTTTATCCCTCGGAGGTAAAGCTGACAGCTCATGCTGATGCATTTGATGTGGGAAGGTGAGGAAAAGAGGAATATGGCTCAGATTTTTGGATTAAACAACTGGGTCGGCAGTGTAACTATTTAAGATGGAGACAACTGTGACAGAAGCAGATTTGAGGGAGAACTCAAAAGTCGTATTTTGATGCTGTTAAATTTAGATGCCTCTGAGGCATGCTGGTAGAGTTGGCAAGTAATTAGATATACGTGGCCTCTCTAGAGAATCTCCCTCTAATGCCCACCACTGTCAGCCAGGGCAGGCGACCGCCTTGCTCCTCATTGGGATGCCCGAACTATTTCTTGCTTTCCTCCTTCCTCAAACCCAGCTCCTTTGGAGCCTTTGAAGTTTAAGTTATCCAACTTTCTCGCTGATTTCCCTTATCACTGCTGTGATCTACCAGCCTCCAGCCACACTCCTTCCTAGTTAATGATTTCAGCACCTATTTCAGGATCAATCCAACACTCTTATTAATGTCGCCTTTCCTGGAGGGTCTTCAATACCCATATGGATAACCGACCCCATCCCTGGCCTCCAAATTCCTTGCTGTCAATTTTTCCTCTATTTGACCTTAGCCATATACTTCCGTGATTGTAGTCACTGCTTTGTTTTCTGAGAAAACTATTTGAGACATCCAAGCCTACATGTTTTTTATGGAGATGTTCTTGAGTTTGACTGTACATCTCAAAATGGCTATACAAAATACAAAGCTTAATTCACAAAGTTAAGATTTGAGAGGAAGGTGGGGAGCAAAAGAAATCATGCTTGACCTTTGCAGTCAAGGCTGCTATTGTCATTGATGATTGAATTTTGGGAAGAAAAAAAAAGAAGGCGAGATATTCCCAATTATTTGTCCCTGAGGATACGGCATCTTTCTCTCTAAGGCAGCGTTTTTCAAGTTTTCTGAGTCTGAATCCTGGTAAGAAAAACAAAAATGGTAACAAGAGCTGACACTGCTTGAGTGCTTACTATGTACCAGGAACTGTTCTAGGCACTTCTCATACAGTGATTGATTTAATCCCCACAACAACTGTGTGAGTTGTGAGATCATACAGCCTTGCTTCCCACAGAGGGTCCTGGGTTTGCCAGTTTTCCTGATGCCTTGTGTGATTTAGCATTTATCCTGGATTATTCATTTTAAACAAAACACTTATTAATACTTGCCTTAAAATAAACTGAGATGGGTTTGGTTGGCCTCCACCTTGTACACTTTGGTTTCTGTCATGTGTGCTCTTCTGGGGTGGGGGCATACCCGTGCAGTGTGCCAGTTCGCACTTTACCATGTGGTGAAAATACCCATCGTCACTGTCCCTGGTCTCTTTTCTTGGCCCTTTCCAGAAGCAATGTCATAACTAACACTGTCTTTCCAAGATAGCTTGAAGGAAGCTTGCTGATGAAATGAAGCACACTCAGACACAAGAGCCTGGGTACAAATGATTCTTTGTCTTGGTCTCTGTCACTGCTGGGACCTGCTGTCCTGCTGGTCACTTCGGTACCAGCTTTGCTCCATGATATGGTGTGCAAAATCCAGGAAGCCACCAGGCCACTGCTTGGGGATCAGTGAAAAATATGGCAAATCATAGGCTTGGTGAACGTGAAACAAAATAGGGGCTGAGCAGTCTTGCTGTTGAACATCCGCATGATCATGATTGAATCATTTTGTTGTTATTTTTTGCATGATATAAATCCGTGCCTGTTTTGTTGTTTGATAATGCTTTTTTATTTTGTAATAATTAACATTATAAAGCTATATAGTCTGTCAGTGCCACTTTCCACTATCAAAATTGTCCTTGTTTGGATAAATTAAGTGGTCATCCTACCAGCAATGAAGGCAGTATTCTTATCTCCATCTTTCAGATAAAGAAACTAAAGCAAAGAGAAGTTAAGTAAAATGCCCAAAGCCACACATGTAGGTAGTCTGGATCTAGGGTCCGTGAACTTCACTGCTACTGTTGAGTTCACATTTTATATCTTACATTGTGATTCATTCTCATTCTCTCTCTCTCTCTCTCTCTCTCTGTCTGTCTCGTGTGCATGGGCACACACACACGAAGCACCTCTAATGCACTAATATTTTCTATTCCACCCAAGTATAGAATCAGATCATTTTCTGAGATTACACTTACTTACTTGCATGGGAAGAATGCTTGGTTTTTACTGAATCAAGTTATGAAATGGGGTCACTTTCAAGGAAGGGCCCGGCAATTTGCGACTAGGTTATTTGCTTTATCTTTTCTATATCTCGAAAAGCAGCCACTGTCAATTTGATCGAAGCAGAGTTTCACAGACACAATCAAGCCCAGCTCTTCACTGACAGAATTTGCAGTCCCTGTGGCTGGGCCAACCCCAGTCTATTAGGAGCTGATGGCCCAGGTCTATGCAGTCAAGTCCTATTTTTATGTTATCTCCTCAGCTCCAGTGAGAAGTTTCCACACCATGTGATGGTTATAACAACTTCCCCATGAGAACTTGAAAGCCTCACATGCGTTTCTCTCTCCCTTTCCTTTTCTATATGGCCACACCACCTCTGACTTCTGGCATTGTGCCAGATTTCAGACATTTCCACTTGCCCACATAGCCCTTCTTTATTTTCAGGGACAAAAGAGAAACCGTGGCTTCTTGAGAACATGGTTGTGTCTTTTAGGCCATCTAATAATAAGCCACCTTTAAAAAGGAATAATGTTACTATGCTGTTTAGACTTCAGCCTCCCCAGAAAGAAAACAGGGGTCTCTTAACCAGGTTAGAAAACAGTAAGAATGGTAG